GATCTTTGATGTTCCTATTGCCAAGAGGAAGGGTGTGAGATCTTGTACTCCTGTCTCTATTGATCGCTCAGCATTACTGTCTACTCCTCGAGATCATGACTTCAGAGTATACTGATTAGCCTCAATATCAGTTTGCATCGCCATTTTTTGCTCCACCGACCGCATCGGAAAGTTCAATGGAGCAAAACCAGAGGTGTTTGGTTGCGGTTCACTGGCCACCGCACCAGTTATTTCTCCTGTGGGCTCGTTCAGTTCTGGAAAGAGCGTGAGCAGGTTCTGGGTAGCTGAACGGGAAGAAGAGGCCATTGTTCAGATGTTTCAGAATGTCAATATTCAGATGTTTCAGAATGAAAATTTTCAGAGGTTTCAGACTGGTTTGTTATGCTTCCCAGCCTCCGCCTCCGCTTCGGTTTATAAAGACCATGACGAAGAGGCCGACACGCGCACTGTCGATCACGTGCATCGCCGCGTGTCTGGCGCGCCTTTTGATGGCTCGTCTTTTGATGAATTGGGCACGCCTTTTGATGGCACGCCTTTTGACAAAATTGGGCACACCTTTTGAGGGTGCAACTTTTCCAACGGTCCGACATGACCCCATAAACTGTCCCGACATTGATTCCGGTTAGCCTTTTACAACGGTCCGACATGACCCTATAAACTGTCCCGACATTTAATTCCGGTTAGCCTTTTACAACGGTCCGACATGACCCCATAAACTGTCCCGACCTTTGATTTCGGTTAGCATACAGTGTCCTCTACAACGTTATGACACCACCATACAGTGTCCTCTACCACGTTATGACACCACCATCCAGTGTCCTCTACACCGTTATGGCACACCCCTCCAGTGTCCTCTACCACGTTATGGCACCACCTTTCAGAGTCTTCACCAACGGTCTGACACGACCATACAGTGTCTCCTATCTTTTTTGTATTTTCTTGTTTATTTTTATGTATTTTCTTGTTTTGTTCCTCTCTTCAAACTCAAGTTGGTTAGTTTCTATCCTCCTTGAGTTTGCGGGGGGCTGTTAGAATTTACCATCTGAAGCAGTACTAGTTTAATGTTCTGAGTTGTTGAAGCTAATGGGATAGGTTTGGATTCTGATCCTATTCTGCCATATGGTTGTTACCTTGTACTATATCATTTGTGTTATCCTTATACTTCTTATCGATTGAGTTGTTGCATATTTATAGGGTTAACACCATAACTTTGAGTCTATGACTGTCATTTACTTTGGGTGCTTAAGCTCTGTATATTAAATTTCATTTTCTTTTTTGGTTGTGCTTACTGTTGAACATATCTCAAAATGGTGTTGGAAGAACGAAAATTCACCTGAACTTTGCTATCTCAATATACACTTTGCTTCTGTTTCAAATTTTAAAAATGATTTCCTTATTTCTGGAGAATGTTTCATTACTTTGAGAGAAACTTAAAGCAGCCGATTGGTCAATGTTTCTTATTTTCTTGATAAGGAACAAAAGATTCTTTAACAATGACTTTCCATATAATGGTTCCATAATTGCTGGTTATGTATTATATGGTTACTGTATTTACATTATTGTTTATCTTTAAAGAGAATGTGTTGGTGGGAAGAGTGCGATTCCAATTATATGGAGAATAAATTTTTATTTGGAGTCATGTTGTTTTTGCAGATAAGGAGAATTTGTGTTTATATGGACTTCCGAATGAGACATGGGAAGTCAACCTGCCTGTTGAGGAGGTGCCTCCTGAGCTTCCTGAGCCGGCATTGGGTATAAACTTTGCAAGGGATGGAATGCAAGAGAAGGACTGGTTATCACTTGTTGCTGTTCACAGTGATTCATGGTTGCTTTCTGTTGCCTTCTATTTTGGTGCACGCTTTGGGTTTGGTAAGAGTGAAAGGTAATACTTGTAAATAGCTGCCCATTTGCCCCCCTGCAGTTCCATTTGTTTAAGGCCTTTAGCTACGATGAAGCTACAATACACTTGGTGTATATTATATGCTAGTAATGATCTAAATTGGTGTTGCTTACAAGCTATTATGGTGGTAGAGCCCGCAAATCAAAGTTCTCTTCAGTTATGGCTCAAATTAATGTTAATTATTCTTTATTGATCTTGAATCTTTACGATTCACGATTCGATTCGATTCGCGATTCGCTACACGATCATTTCGATTCACGATACGAATCTCGATTTGACAACTATGGTAAAAAGTACTTAATATTACTGTTTTGATACTTTTTGTTTTGTAAATGTCTATTCAACATTAACTGAAAATTTTATTTGGAATTTAATGATAATGTTCAATTTTTATGTTTAAGTGAATATTTTAGTATAACATACGTACAAAAATTTAGTAAAAATGTAATAAAATAAGTTTTGTAGACAATTTTTAATTGTATATCATTTGGTCCCCCTCTTAAGAAGATTTCTGGGTCAGCCACTGTATGTATAGTATGCCCGTCTGTCCAGTTGATCTACAGCATTAGTCATGTGCAGTTCTATTTGCATACCGTTTACTGTGATATTATTTTACTAGGATGATATGTGGCTTTTGTTGCATACTGCTTCGTGGTACTTTTTTTCCCCCTCATTCTCATTTCTCACATTTGTGAAGCATTTAACTTGCTACAGCTTATCCTTTCTTACTTTGCTGTGTGCTTTGTTTAGAATGAAATGTTCAGGTTATATCCATTAATTTGTTCATTCTGCATTGTTATGGTGTTACACCTAGACTCTTTTGTTGTACATATTCCTTATGTTATTTGCTCTTTGTTTCCTAGACATCCACACTTTCTTAAAGTCTATATGGAGATTCAGTTACCTCCCAATGTGCTTATTATGTTCATTTTATAGGTTTTGTTTACTGTCTATACATTTACTTCTGCTAGAGATTGAGATTACATTCTTTATAAATAAAAAAAAGCATGACTTTCATATGGCAGAACTCGTCATCAGTTGTATCGGGTGGATTAAAAATAGTTGATTTTGTTTTCTAATTCATAAGATGAGACCATAGTTAAATTCTGAGGAATGCTAGACGTGAGCATATTAAATGTTTACTTTCCATACTTGCATACAAAAATGGAGTTCATCGTGCCATTATGCACTGGCATGCCCCAATAAAATGGAATTATCCTGTCATGTTATTGGCATGCCCCTTTGTTTTTGAACTTGTAAAATCTGTTCAAAATTATTGCAATTTTTTATTCTTTTTTGACATTTATATATTCATACAAACTATTATATTCCAACTTTGGTTGATTATTGAATTAATAAATATCAGATCTTTGGTATATATTTTTCAGGTGGTTAAATTCATATTCATAGCATAGTAGCTTCTTCTTCTTCTGATTTATTTTTTTATTTTTTTCTTCGTGCATTATAAGATTGTTGATGGCCTTTTTATAAAGATACAGGTCAGCATCTTTGTTACATGATTTTTGGAGTTTTGAAATGGTCAAAGTTACGCCACAGGTTTATGATATCAGAGATAGTGTTCCTTTTTGTTTTGTTTTGTTTTGTTTTGGTTGACTGGAATTTTATAGTAAGCCCTTGCTTCTGGAAATTAGCTATCTCCCTGTTTTAAAAAGGTTGATGGTTTTCTAATAAGGAAGCCATCAGTCTCACATAATAGCCTGGTATCAACAAAGTATCAGAATAGGTGAATAAGCTATCAGGGGGAAAATTGATATTGCCAATTAATTTGTTTCTTTGCGATTTGGATATTAAATTTTGAATTGCATTGACATTTGTACTTTAGGAAGTAGTAATCTGTTTTCTCTTTTAAAAAGTTACTTAGCTTCTGGTATTGCATTCATCTCTTATGTTGAAAAGGGCATATTAACTTATAGTCTTATGCACAGCCTAACTTAGGTTAGGCATTAGAATTGGTACTTTATAGATACTTTTATAGTATACGTGACAAAAAATGGAAGCGCTTATAACTCTTTTTAGAAGATAGTGTTTTGCAGTTAGGAATATCAATTCAACTAATAAGTTCTTCCTCTCTATTCCTTTTTTCTTGTAGACTTTTTTTTTTTTTTTTAAAATTAACTGAGTATCATAATTTTGTAGGGTACCTATATTTTTGTAAGGGTGTTTAGATATTTCTTTGGATGTATAAAAGTTGACTAGTAAAGTGGTAGAATGAGTATCTTAGCATAGTTCTTTTCTTTGCTTTATGAATGATGTGCCAAGCAGAGTCAGTCCTGCATTTCTTCATTTTGCTTCAATATGTATATGTTAATTATCAAATATTTATCCTCCTAGATTTGTTTAGTTTTTAATTGTTGATTGTGATTATGCATATGTATGTGTGTCAAATTGTATGATTTGCATCCAAAATAAACTAAAGAAACAATTTTAGCACTTGTTCCTTAAAATTTGGTTCAGCCAAGGTATAGGATGCTTTGCTTGACTACAGGATCTTGTGGTTTAAGTTAGATGCATTATTGAGAGCATAACTTGCCATGAAGGCCAATAAGATTTAGACTTGAGCTTATGTTCAAACGGTGTGGGTGGACATTCTTCCATCACATTTACCATGAATAATCGCGAGTAAATTCCAGAATAACAACCAATTCTGAAGTCGAGTTACTTCCTGCTGGGTAACATCCTTAGTGGATGATTTAGAAGCCCTTCATGCCCTGGAGGAATTAAAAGTTGTCTTCACAAGTAACAATTCACATGTCTGGAATAAAATAGAAATGCAGACTTTCCTACCTGAGTTATTTCTTATCTTTGTTGGAATTGGCATTTTCAGGAAGAGGCTTTTCCAGTTGATAAATGATCTCCCAACTATATTTGAAGTTGTGACAGGGAATGTGAGGCAGTCGAAAGACCAATCTGGTCCTCACAGCAACAGTAGCAAAATCAAATCAAGCGGGAAGATGGTAATTGACCCCATCATACATAAAATATATATATATATTTTTTATTTTTATTCTGCATGTTTTGCCTTGTTATATGTGATTTTTGTTTTTTAACTTTTGCATTTTGGTTGCTTCAATTAAGCAGCAACAGCCTCAGCAGCCTGAGTCTCAACCAAAGACAGTAAAGACGTCTCCTTCGCCTAAATTAGAGGATGAGAGTGGGGGAGATGAGGAAGAAGACGACGATGAACAGGGAGCAACACTCTGTGGTGCTTGTGGGGAGAACTATGCCAATGACGAGTTTTGGATTTGCTGCGATATTTGCGAGAGATGGTTCCACGGAAAATGTGTAAAGATTACGCCTGCAAAAGCTGAGCATATCAAGCAGTACAAGTGCCCTAGTTGCAGTACCAAGAGGGTAAAAATCTAGGTTCTGAAGCTTGAGAACAAATATCACTAATGAAACAAAAGGACATAGTTTAGAACTTTCTGGTACTATTTTAAACCGAAACAAGGCAAGACTTGTGCCCATTTTAGAAGTTAAATGAACTGGAATGTCTGTTGATAATGGGATTTAATTTTTTACTATTTTATATTACCAATAGAAGTTGGAACATGCATTGTTTTTAGTTGGTCAAGATTGGTTATGCATTTTTCATGTTTGTTTCTGCATTGGCTTGGATAGTTTTATGTTGGCCTAGCAGGGTGTAGTTATTATAGGCTAGTTTTTCCGATTATGTTGCACTTCATCATAAGAGTTTCTACGCTAGTTATATGGGCTACTAGCGTTAATAAATAGCGGGATGCTCAACTTTTTTTTCATCTTCAACGGGCTGTTAGTTTATTTAGCATTGCTATACATTGTGTCAAATCTGACGCGAGGTATATAAGTATATTTTGGCAAGATTTTTTTTGTCGTTATGTCTCTCACAGTGGGATCCGTGTTTCAATTTGGCATTTTGAGAGAGGTAGAAGTAATAGCATTTGCACTATTGGTGCAATGCTATTAAAATGCAGTATTTTGTCATTATTCATTGTTAAAATTTAAGTAATAACTAGTCAATTTAACTTTTGAACCATTGAGATGCAAGAACTTGACCTGTTTTTAGCAGAATCTCAGGGAAGTCGTATGAAATGCCGGATAATCTATTTTAGAAAGCCGGATGATCTATTTTAGAAAGTGTGTAGATTCAACTGTTATATAGTTGAGTTCACACTTCAATGAATCTAAACCTCATAAAGAACTTGGGCGAAAAAGATGGTGAATTTTACTGGATAATTCAGCAGAGCTTGTATTCAAAATATACTCTCTGTAAGTAATAAATCATCATGGGTTGTAACTTGCTGATCATAAAGAACTTGGTAGATTATTTCATAGCTGAAAAACCACCATTGAGTTTTAAAAATGTTGAGAAATAAATTATTTGTCTATAGTGCATGTACATGTCCAACCATTCTCTATTGAGTTGTTAAAAAGAGAGAAAATTATAATTCAATATAAGTTTTTAAAAATAATTTCAGATCAGTGGTAAATTTTATAAATATTAATCAGTGTAGCGTTAAACTTTTTCATGAATTTGTAATTATTTTGTGAAAATAACACTAAATTGTAATTTTTTCTGAAAAATATTCTTTCACCTCAATATCATAGAGTTCCAATATGTTGGGCTCATTTGTTTGCGCTTTTGTTTCATGTTTTCTGTTTTTTGTTTTTATTTTTTATTTTTGAAAATTGGAATGAAAACTTGTTTGTCTTATTGTTTTAGTTTATAAAAAAAGAATTAATTTCAAAAATTTTAAAATTTTTGAAAACGAAAAAAAAAAGGTGTTAGTTTTCGTTTAAAAGTATTTCAAAATAAATTAGAAAACAATTTAAAAGTATTTCCTAAAATATGAGGTGCTTCCATAAAAAATTTTAAAAGAAGTTTTTAGAAATAGTTTTCCAAAAAATTTCATGTTAGTTTACGTTTTCCCTATTTGTAAATTTTTTTTTAAATAAATTAAAAAAAAAAGCAACAGCAATACAATATATATATTTTCCGTTCATTTTTTCATTTCTTTATTATTAGGACAAATTACCAACAAGAATTTTTTAAAATACAAATTATTTCTTATAATTTTAAAAATTACATTTCACCCTTTAAAATTTAAATTGCATTACAATTTTCTCCATTTCTCCAATGTTAGGTCAACTAACAGGTTCACTTACATCATCATTTAAAATTTGCAAAATGTCAATTGTAACCTTAATAACTTACATAGGGGTGATAGAGTGGTGAACAATGGTAGGAAGCAACGGAAATGGGGGTGAGAGAAACATACAAATGGTTTGAGGAAGGAAAAGGATAAGGGCAATATGATAGTTTTAGTCAAGTATGGATGAATAAGACGGACATTTTCATTTTTACGTTAACAAAGTTATCAAACAAACTTTAATAGAAGGAATATGTAATTTTCATAACTATTGGAGAAAATTATATTTTAGGCAATCCTAAAAAAGGTGTAGTTATAATTTGCCATTATTATTAGGGCGTTTGGAAAGTGGGTTGATTTTTTAGTTTTTTTGGCTATTTTAGCCTAAGGCTAAAAAATCTGGTTTGGAAAGAGCTTTTAGTTTTTTTTGACTTTTTTGTGAGAGAAAGAATGTAATGATTATGCGTTGGATATGATATTTTGTCTTAGAATAATCCTTGGTAGCTCGAGAAACACTTGGCCCGAATTGGCTTGAATACCCAAAACAACGTCGTTTTGGGTATTTTTTTTTCTTCTTCCTTTCCCTCTTATATCGCTGAAAACAGAGAGAGAAAAGAGAAAGAGAGAGGAGAGAGAGGAAGAGAGAAGAGGGAGGGGGAAGATCTGTGTGTGTATCTGTGTGTGTTGATAATGATGTATTGTTGACGCTCTCTCTCTCTCTCTCTCGGTGGGTGGGTTTGATTTTTGTGTTTGATTGGGTTTGATTTTTGTATTTGATCGGTGGGTGGTTTTGATTTTTATTTTGATTTCAGTTTTGTGATCGGATTTGATTTCAATTTTGATTTTGGGCTTGAAAGTGGGTTTGCTTCTTTTTTCTTTTTTTCTTTTTTTTTCTATGTAAATCTGGATCTAAGTAGTTTTGTGATGTTGATGATGATGTTGATGAAGATGTTGCTGTTGTTGTTGATGATGATGATGATGTTGATGAAAATGTTGTTGATAAAGATGTTGATGAAGTTGTCCACCTCTGGCTCCCTCTTCTCTTCCTCCTCCTCTTCTTCTTCTTCTTCACTTTCATGTTCTTCATCTTCAGAAAAAACAAGAAAAAAATAAAATAAAATAAAAACGTCGTCGTTTTGGCTCGGGTCATTCGAGCCTCATAAGTTTTGAGCTACAAAACGGGGTTGTTTGTCTTATTGGACTAAAACGCTTATTTTGTTTTTTATGGCTATTTTAGTCAAAAAAATCATCAAACCCAACTTCTCAAACATGGGCTTTATCCCTCTAGACTATTGTCTTATGTCACTTTATTTTTTTAAACTAAAAATTGTAATACTTTACCCCCATATTTATTAATTCTTTTCAATTTAGACCATAACGACGAGAATACTCTTTTAACAATAGGAGTAAATTACATTTTAACCCCTTAAACTATCACTCAATATCATTCTACCCCCTCAACTAAAAAAAAATGTTTTATTTGTTAATTTAAAATATATTTTAAAGTTTTTTTTAATCATGTTTAGTATTTTTATTTTTAATAATCTTTTTTCATATTTTAGTCAAAAACTTTAAATTTTAACCTGCACCTAAAAGTTAAATATTTGTGAAGATTTTTTTTTTTAAAAAAAAAAAATCATACAAAACGAAAAAATAAAAAAATAAAAAAACAAGAAACTGGTACATTTTTATATTTCTTGCCTTTAGTGAACATTTTTTAAATTTTTTTATAAATATTTTTGTTATTTGGTTTTAATTTTTTTTAAAAAATTAAAAATTAATTTAGTGATAATATTAAAAAATAATAAGAAATTCCAAATTGAAAGTGACATGATAGTTTTAGAGGGTAAAGTGATATGAGATGATAGTTCAAGGGCTAAAGTATAATTTATCCAATTAATGAAAGCGTATTTTAGTCATAAAAGTCCAAATTAAAAAAAATAATAATAATAAAAAAATCAAAGAGCTGCTATTAGCACCTATCTTAGTTCTTTGGACCCTACATTTCTTTGAACCCTCATCCTAAATCCTAAATTTCAATATATTTTTTTTTTTAACACCTCACTTAATATCAAATTTATCTCTATTCATAATATCATCACACCCAAGTGCACACCCACCTAATTTTGCACACCCTCTCCATCATGGTTAAAAAACGGCCCCTCTCATGTTGAAGAACAATGACGATGGTCCCTTTCTTTGATTTATTTGAAATCAGTGAATGACGATGCTCATTTTATTAAAAACATTGCATCATTGCATCGTTGTAAAACTGAGTCAAAATCACACCACTAGTCAACCACCCGATCATTCGGCCAGTTGTCCGACCGATTGATTGCCCAAGGGTTGGTTCAGTATTGTGTTGCTGAATAGAAATTATTTGTTCAGCACTGTATTATCGAACATAAACAATTTTTCCAATATTGTGTTTCCAAGCAGCATTTGTTCAACACTATGTAACTTAACCCTTAATTCACTATTTTCTATTCCAATTCAATATAACAAACAAAATAATAGACATCCATTCCAATTCAGTCACTAATTTCTGGTTCAAGGTTTAGGATTGTGATGAAAATGAATACGTTTAGCGTTTAAGATAGTGATGAAGAGGAATATGTTGAATTTAGGATAGTGATGAAGAGGAACATTGGATTTGAGGATGGTGATGAAGAGAAACGTTGATGAAAAGGAATGAGTTGGTTTAGGTAGGTGAGGAGTATGTTTAGGTGGAGGAGATGGGTGTACAATATTGTATCGTTGTCTTTATTTAGTGGGTGGTTATTCCATTAAAGATTGTCTTTTAATATAATTTTACTTCAGAATATAATTGTAATTAAAAAAAAAAAGTGAATTGGGAGGTTCAAAAAAATTAGGTAAGTAATAATATCAGTCTTAAAAAATTAATAGATGAAGGGGGGTTAATTGTTACAATTTTTAGTTTAACAAGATAAAGTGATGCAGGACAATAGTTGAACGGGATAAAAGTGTAATTTACTCATATTTTAAAGTATGCATTCGAACTTAGGATTAAGGCATTGTTTGATTTGTGATTTTTTGACTAAGAAACCTAAACAATCACAAACAAATAAAAAATAAAAAATCAGAAAGTTAAAAATATTGAAATGTCATGTTATACACATTAATCAATTTTTTTTTGCTCACAACTATTTATTCAACTAAAAAAATCATTCCACTAACTTTTTTCACCCTATAAAAATCAAAAAGTCAAAAAATTATTTATGAAGCCAAGTTACCGAATGGGAGCTAAACAATTTTAGACTCGTTTGAAAATTAATTTTTTTAATAATTTTTTAATATTTTATAAAATGATATTTATGTTGTATTTGGTTGGAAAATTTCTGAAGGGATTTGGAAAAGGAAATGGTAAAGATGTGTGAAATTAGAAGAAATGTAGGTATATTTTATTCACATTTTACTTACATTT